ATATGTAATGTGTGGAGTCATATGTTAGGAATATGCTTAGTTTTAATAAACTTAATGAACTTCTAGACTTCTGTCTAAAGCAATTGTACTATTTACTCCTGAAACAATGTATTAAGAGTTTCAGTTGCTCTTTATCCTGGTCACTATTTGATATTATCAGTCTTTCAAAAGTTTGGTCTTCTGGCAGAGCATAGTGGTAGCTATGTGTTTTCCCAATGACAAATTGTGTTAATCTCCTTCAATATATGTATTGGCCATTCATATATCTTCTTTTTAAAAGTGTTCAAATCGTTCACCCATTGGAAACTTTGTCTCTTTATTGGATTGTAGGTGTTCTTTGTATATCTTGGATACCAGTCTGTGTTAGAAACATGTTTTGTGAATAATTTCTCCCAGTTTGTAACTTGCCTCTTCATTTGGTGATATTTTTTATGTGCAGATGTTTTTAAAATTTTTAATGAATCCCAAATGTATCTTTTTCTCTTTTATGGTTATTACTTTCTGTGCTCTTAAGAATCTTTTGCCTATTTCTAAATAATAAGGATGTTCTCCTGAGTTTTCTTTAAAAGCTTTATGATTTTAGTGTTGTGTGATGTTTGATGCTTGATATATTTTGACTTAATTTTCATGTATAGTGTGAAGCACAGATCAATGTTAATTTTTTAAAGAATGGATATCTGTTCCACTACCACTTGTTGAAAAGACTTCTCTTTACTCAATAATGACTTGGTCAAAAAAAAAAAAGCATATCAGTGTAGGTCTTTTTCTGGACTACATATTCAGTGTTGTTTATCTTCTGATGATACTTAGGAGAGTACTATACTGTCATGATTTCTGGAGCTATGGAGTAAGTATTGAATTCTGATCCTATAAATACTCCAGCTTTTTTGTTAGTTTCCATGATTGCTTTGGGTGTTGTAGACTCCTTGTATTACCGACTATGTTTTAGAATGAGTTTCTCAATTTTCTATGAAAAAAAAAATGCCTACTGGAACTTGAAGTTTTGTTACCTCTTTAGGACATTATGGAGAGAATCAACATTTTTGACAATATTGAACTTTCCAATCCATGAACATGGTATATCTTGTTTTATTCTTTCTTTCTTTATTTTATTTTTTACTATTTTTAATTTTTTTTTATTTATTTATGATAGTCACAGAGAGAGAGAGGGAGAGACAGAGACACAGGCAGAGGGAGAAGCAGGCTCCATGCACCGGGAGCCTGACGTGGGATTCGATCCCGGGTCTCCAGGATTGCGCCCTGGGCCAAAGGCAGGCGCCAAACTGCTGTGCCACCCAGGGATCCCTATTCTTTATTTTTTTAAAGCAACCTTTTATAGTTTCAGTGTCTTTTATTTTTTTATTTTTGTTTTTATTTTTATTATTATTTTTAAATTTATTTATTTACTTATGATATATATACATAGAGGGGGGGGCAGAGACACAGGCAGAGGGAGAAGCAGGCTCCATGCAGGGAGCCTGATGCGGGACTCGATCCCGGGACTCCAGGATCACGCCCTGGGCCAAAGGCAGGCGCTAAACCACTGAGCCACCCAGGGATCCCCTTCAGTGTCTTTTATTAAGAATATTTTAGTCTATGTTCATGTGGTATATGGTCTATAATTTTTCGTAATTTCTGTTAGGTTTTGGGATTATGATTATACTGCCTCATAAAATATATTTGGAAGTATTCCTTCTATTTCCTTAAGGAAACTGTATAAAAATTGATACTGTTATACCTTAAATGTTCAGGAGACTTCACTAATGAAATAATCTGGCCCTGTAGTTTTCTTTCTGGGAGGAGTTTTGATAAGTTCAATTTCTTTAATAGAGATACGGTGCTTCAGATTTTTTGCTCAGTTTTGTGTCAGCTTTGGTAATTTGTATTTTTCAAAAAACCTGTTTTGTATAAAACATTGTTTGGTGTAAAGTTGGTATAGTATCTTCTTATTTTAAAAAGTCTTTAGTATCTGAAATGAAGTCCCCTATTTCCTTTCTCATATTGGCAATTTCTCTCTCTCTCTCTCTCTCTCTCTCTCTCTCTCTCTCTTTCTCTCTTTGATTAGCTTTGCTAGGGATTTATTAATTTTACTACTTTTCAGAAATCCAATGTTTTGCTTCATTGATTTTATCTGTTTTGGATTTGTTTTCTATATCATTCATTTCTACTCTTTACTCTTCTGTTTTCTTTGATTTGCTGTTTGTTTTTGAACTTTTTAAAATAGAAGCTTAGATATTGATTTCATCCTTTTCTGATTATGTGTATTCTTCTCTACAATTATTTATAAGCATTGTTTTAGTTTCATTCTCTGTTTCTATAATTTATATTTTCATTATAATTTATTGCAAATATTTTAAAATTTCCATTGTTATTTATATACTTTATTTTGACTCATATGTTATTTAGAAGTATGTCACTTAATCCTCAAGTAGTAGGGGAGTTTCACAATTAAAAATTACTCATTTTTAGCTTAATTGCATTGTAGCTAGAAAATATATTCTTGAAGACTTAAGATCTTTGAAATTTGTTGAGACTTGTTTTATGATTCAGTCTGTGATCCATTTTGTTACGTATTTTGTGTATAATTTGTATATTCTGTTTTTATTTGGAAGGATATACTATTTATATGAAGTCTAGTTGGTTAATCATGTATCAAACCTGTATCTTAGTAATTTTTTTCTTCTTCCTCTTGTAGCTATTGACAAAGACGTGTTAGTTTCCCATGTGATTATAGATTTGTCCATAACCTCTGTTAGTCTTGAATATTTTTGCTTTATATATTTTTAAGCTTTGTTATTGGGTTCATTCATACTTAGAAATATGATATCTTTTTGTTGGTTTGACTTTTTAATTATTAAGAAATGTCTCTCTTTATTTTTAGTTGTATTTATTACCTTAAGCTGACTTTGCTTGATATTAGCATAGCTATAACAGCTTCCTTTTAATTGTTTTTTGGATGAAATGCTTTTCCCCATTATCTTATATTTAATCTTTCTATGACAATAAGTAGTCTTACAGTGGAGTGAATATTTAACATAATAACTGTAATTTGAATTTAAAGCTACCATCTATATTTTTATATTTTATTGGTGTGCACTATGCTTTTTCTCTCACTTTATACCTTCTTTGGTTCAATGAAATATTTTAATTATTCTTTTTCTCACTTCAGTTAACGTTAATGGTTATCCTAGAAATTACTACATTAATTTTGAGTTATTGCAGTCTGATGCAGATTATTAGTTTTATCACTTCCTGCATAATGCAGATATCTTAGAAACTAACTCTATCCCAGTTCTAACCTTTTTTTGTTATTGTTATGCATTTTAAATCTACATAAAATGTAGACTTAACAAGCTGGTAATATAATTATTTTTATGGTTTTTTTGTGTGCATTTTTTATTGGAGTTCAGTTTGCCAGCATATAGCATAACACCCAGTGCTGGTTCTTTTTTTTTTTTTTTAAGGTTTTATTTATTTATTCATGAGAGAGAGAGAGAGAGAGAGGCAGAGACAGATGGGGAGGAGCAGGCTCCCTCTGGGGAACCTGATACAGAACTCGATCCTGGAACCCCAGGATCACTCTCTGAGCCAAAGGCAGACTCTCAACCACTGAACCACCCAGGCGTCCCTATAGTCATTGTTCATCCATGTTTCCCAACATTTGCCTTTTTTATGACTCTTCCTTTTTGCATTTCTATGCTTTTTTTTCTAGTATCATTTTCTGTCTGTTGCTAGAACCCTCTTTTAGTATTTCTTTTACTAACAAATTCTTGTTTGTTTTTCTGAAATCACCTTTATTTCATTTTCATTTTTCAAACATATTTTAAGTTGTGAATAGATTTCTTGATTGGCGCCTATTTTCTTTCAGAATTTTTAGGAAGTCATTCCATTTCTTCTGCCATTCTTAATTTCTGTTGAAAGTTATTTCTGTGTGTTGACTGTTGCTTATTTAAATTATTTTTTTCCTCCAGCTCTTTAAAGATTTGACTTTATGTCTATCATTAATGTTAAGAAATTCTTTGTTGTTATTACTTCAGATATTACTTGTTATTTTCTCTCTCCTTTCTTCTGAGATTTCAATGATATGTGTGGTAGAACCTTTCATTGGGTTCCAAAGGCCTCTTATTCTCTCTTACATTTTTCAACCTTTATTTTTCAGTGTTTTGGTTTGGATATTTTTTGTTAACCTCCGTTTTAGTTCATGTGTATTTTGTTCAATCTGCTGTTGGCACCAAATACAACACTTTCTGGAAATTTTGCCATGAAGTCTAGGGATAGGAGCAATAATTGGACCATGTGGGAATAAAGAGAAGGGCTTACTTACTGGTTTTTGGTTAGGACATACTGACATGTTTATGTTATAATGGGAATGATTCAGTAGAGAGACAAAATTAAAGCTGTGTGGGAAAGAAAAGGCAGATGTTTTTTGGCTAAAAATCCTTGAGGAGGTGAGAGAGGACATAATCTTTTTTTTTTTTTTTTTTGAGAGGACATAATCTAAAGCACAACTGGAAGAATTTTCCTTTGATAGAACTGGGATATAAGGAGGTTAGGCACTCATTCATGTATATAGTGGTCTTTGAGGTGGGATTCTGGCTTGACCAATGGAAAATATGCACCTGCCGTAAGTTTCTAGACTCTTAAACTTTGGGATGTGTGTATTGGGCATATGGGAAAATTGTCTAAGAAAAGAAGAGTCAGGTGGAAGCGGAAGGGAAGACTGTATTTATGGCTACTTAATTCTTTCATCTATTTCTGTGTACCCTTAGTGATATCTACTTTTATCTCTTAGGATACTCAAAGTATTAGAGTATATTTTTAAGGAAATACTAAATTGTTTATGTTAGATTAATTAAATGTTTTTGTCATATTGTTAATATTTCTGTAGTATATACTTAAACATAGTTAACTCCTTATAGTGCATTTAAAATTAATTATTAATAGTGTTTTGAATAGAAAATCAAGTTTTCTAATGTATCTTCCCATATTTTCTTTTACAGTTTTGTGAGTACTAGAATAGCACAACCATGTTTCGGAATAGTCTGAAGATGCTTCTTACTGGAGGGAAATCAAGTCGTAAAAACAGATCAAGTGGTAAGTGACTATGTTACATTTATTCTGTGTGATACTTTAGAAAGAGAAGTTCTTTTAGGGGTCTGAATTGATGCTACAACTTCATATATTTATTTATTGAATGGTTTATTTAATTTAGAAAAAAAGTTTACATTCCATTAGGCTGCCATACTTTTTTTTTTTAAGATTTTATTTATTTATTCATGAGAGACACAGAGAGGGAGGCAGAGACATAGACAGAGGGAGAGGCAGGCTGCCTGTTGGGGAGCCTGATGTAGGACTCGATCCCAGGACCCTGGGCTCATGACCTGACCCAAAGGAAGATGCTCAACCACTGAGGCACCCAGGTGCCCCTTCCCTCCCCACCCCACCCCCTTTTTGAAAAATACTTTTACTTATTTGAGAGAGGGAGAGCACATGAGCAAGATAGAGCAGAAGCAGGGGCAGAGGGAGAGAGAAAGCAGGCTCTCTGCTGAGTAGGGAGCCCAATAAGGGGCTCAATGCCGGGAACCTGAGATCATGACCCGAGCCAAAGGCAGACCCTCAACCAACTGAGCCACACAGGTGCCCCTAGACCTAAATTTACTTTTTGAATTAACATGTGAAATTATTTCAGTCCTAGGCACTCTTTGGAGAATGAGACTGTAAAAATAGAAACCACCCTCAGAGAGTTTTATGGAAAGTGAAATATAAATTTTAGATTTTTATAGTCATTAAAATAAAGTTTATAAAGGTTGGTTTAAGAATAGGAGATAATTCCAAGCTTTTAACGTAAAAACAAGCTGAAACTGTATATTTCCTTTTTTGGAGAAATGTTGAGAGATGTACTAAATATTTGTTTTCTGCTAATGAGTTGTAGATATTATATCCTTTTAATCATTTTAATTTCCTAATTTTTCTACATTTTACAAGTTAACTTTAATTTTTTTTTATAGTTTTTAAGGTTTGCCTTATAGCTCAGCATATGATCAATTTTGGTGAATGTTTTGGATACACCTGAAAATAATGTGGATTCTGCAGTTATTGGGTGCAGTGTAGTTAATGGTGCTACTCAAATATTTTAGATTCTTACTCATTTTAAAGAAATTATTTACTGAGAAAGCTATGATTAAATCTCACATTATGGTTGTTGAATTGTCTGTTTTTCTACTTCTTGTGTCTGACAGCTTTTGCTTTATATATTTGGAAGCTATTTTATTAGATACATTGAAATTTAGAGTTCTGCTATATTCCTGGTGAATTTGGTGGTTTCACCATAATGAAATATCGTCTTTATTTCTAATAATGTCTTTTGTTTGAAAGCTGACTTTGTCTAATATTACTATAGCTGTCCTAGCCTTTTCTTGATTCGTGTTTGCATAGTATGATTTGTTCTATTCTTTTTACTTTCAGCATTTCTATACGGTTATACTGTTAATAGAATACAGTTGGATTTTCTTCTTTTATTCATTCAGACAGGTTTTTTTTTCTTACAAAAGATGTTGGTTAAGCCACATTAATTCAACCAATGATACATTTGAGTGTAAATATAACTTATTACAATGTGCTTTCTCCTTGTCCTACCTGTTCTTTGTTCTTTCTCCTTTCTTGCTTTATTTTAGATGGATCAAAAACATTTTTTATTATTCCATATCTCTTCCTTTTGACTTGGAAAGTACATATTCTTGTAATTCTTTCTGTTGTTATCTTAAAGATTAAAATATCAAAGTTTGATGTTGATTCAAACAACTTTTACTTTCTTCTTGGACAATGCAAGAGCCTTAGATTCTTTTCACCTGTATGTATCTTAAACTCCACAAGACATTATTGTTGTCTTATCTAGTCACCATTATTTAGGTTTACCTACATTCTTGATTGTTACATTGATCTTCTTTTTTTTTTTAAAGATTTATTTATGATAGACATAGAGAAAGAGAGAGAGAGGCAGAGACACAGGAGGGAGAAGCAGGCTCCATGCCGAGAGCCGGACGCGGAACTCGATCCCGGGACTCCAGGATCGCCCGGGCCAAAGCAGGTGCCAAACCACCGAGCCACCCAGGGATCCCCTTACATTGATTTTCATTCCTTCCTTCATCCCTCACTTTTTTCTAGATGAGATCATTTTTCTTTTTGTCTGGAGAAGACTATCATTTCCTTCCTTTGGCAAATTTACTTTGCTTTTCTTTATGTGAAAATGTCCTTATTTTGCCTTTATTTTTTGTAGGATATTTTTGCTGGGAGTAGAATTCTAGGTTAGCAGTTATCTTCTTTCATGACTTTCAAATATAGTTCATTGTCTTCTGGCTCCTTGAATTATTTCTGGTGAGAAATCCATTGTTAGTCTAATTGCTGCCTCTTTAAAGGTGATCTTTTTTCTCCTTGTTTTTAGTTTTCTAGATTTACACTGATGTGCCTAGGAGTGATTTTCTCTTTTCTTCTTTTTTTATTATTATAGTTGACATACAATTTCGTATTAGTTTCAGATATGCAACATACTCATTGCTCACTATGGTAAGTGTAGTCACCATCTGTTGCCATACATTATTACAGTATTATTGACTATATTCCCTATACTGTACCTTTTATTTCTGTGACTTATTTATTTTATAACTGATAGTATGTACTTCTTAGTCTCCTTTACCTATTTTGCCCATTTCCACCACCCCCCCCTTTTGGCAGCCACCAATTGATTTTCTGTATTTATGAATTTGTTTCTGTTGGTTGGTTGGTTGGTTTTGTTTTGGTTTTTAGACTCCACATATAATTGAAAACAAATGGTACTTGTTTTTCTCTCTTTCTCTGACTCATTAAGCTTAGCATAATACCCTCTTCCATCTTTTTTTTTTTTTAAGGTTTTGTTTATTTATTTGACAGAGAGCATAAGCAGGTGGTAGTTGCAGTGGAGGGAGAAACAGGTGCTCTGGGGAGCACAGAGCCAGATTCGAGGCTCGATCCGGGACACTGGGATAATGATCTGAGCGGAAGGCAGATGCTTAACTGAGTCACCCAGGCGCTCATTTCAGTATCTCTTAAAGACGAGATTCTTTTATATAACCACAGTATACTTATCAGTCTCAAACAGTTTAGCATTGATACAGTACTTTAATCTACCATTTATTTTCCAGATTTTGTCAATTTACCCAGTAATTTCCTTTGTAGAATTTTACCCCTTGTTTTTAAAATCTAATTAGAATAAGGCATTGCATTACTTGTCATGTCTTTTTACTCCTACTCAATTTGAAATAGTTTTTCTGCCTTTCTGGACATTTTTAAAGAATAAAGACTCTATCTCCCTTTAAAAATAAGCAGAATGCCCCTAATTTTGTGTTTGTTTTTGTTTTTTTAAATAATCAAGAGTCAGGATTTGGTCTGAATGTTACTTAAATGTATGTGTTTTCTTTTTGGGGCATCACAGCTGGAAGCACACAATGTCTGGCATTCATTAGTGATTTTGATGACCAAATCAAGATATTCTCCAGGTTTTTCTGCTATATGGATACTGATTTTCCTCTTTCAATTTAAAAACAATCGAGAGATGGACACCATTTTATTCTTCTTATGTTTTCCAATTCTTGGTCAGTATTCTCAATTTTGTCTCTTATCTCCCCAAGTGTAGTAAATGTATATTTATATTTATATTTATATCTGTCTTAAAATCTATGTCTTGGGACGCCTGGGTGGTCAGCGGTTGGGCACCTGCCTTCGGCTCAGGTCATGATCCCAGGATCCGGGATCAAGTACTGCATCGGGCTCCCTGTGAGGAGCCTCTGCCTGTGTCTCCCTCTGCCTGTGTCTCTGCCTCTCTCTCTCCGTGTTTCTTATGAATAAATAAATAAATCTTAAAAAAAAAAAAGAAATCTGTGTCTGATAACTAAATGTGTCTGTTTTTGTTGTCTCTTTTGTTTTTTACTACTGTTATTTCATTTCCTCATGTGTCTAGTTAATTTTTTGGAGTAAGCATTTTATTTTGGATTAAATTTAGACTTATAGAAAAGTTATAAAGATAGTACAGACAATTCTCATGTACCCCTTACCCACTTTTACCCGTTGTTACATCTTAGATTATTATGGTCCATTGTCTAAAGTAAGATACCAGCATTGGTACACTACTCTACCAGATTTACTTGGATCTCATTAGTTTTTCCATTCATGTCCTTATTCTGCTTCAGAATCCAATCCAGAGAACTACATTGCGTTTAGTTGTTTTGTTTCCCCAGACAGTTTGATTGAATTTGGCAGAAACAATAATTGGCATCATTCCACTGGTCACTTTTTGATTATACACACACACACACACACACACACACACACACACACACACACACACCCTCCTCATATATGTTGGAGATTTAAGCTGCCTCCAAATTTGACATTTAAAGAAATGATTTGTCCAAAATTTGTTTTCTGGCCTAGAGCCATGATTTTCTTAGACACCTTTAGTTGTTCACTTTTGACAACAGCACTAGCATTTTCTCTCACTTCATAACTATCATTTCATATACTACTAGATGACTAGTAGAAATCAATAAGGCCATAATAGGATGCAGTTGTGGATAGTCTTTTTGACCTGGGTACCAGATAAGTAATATGTGTCATACTATCCTTACTAATGGTAGGCTTCCTATTTGTGCTTTAGCAAAATTACAAATTATTACATGCTAGGCTTCTAAGTACTGCTCTAGTAGAAATATTATTAAATTAATACATGTGAAGTTTCTACTGTAGTATTAAAGCTAATTCCTTTGATTTACTAGGTATTTATGTCAGTAATGATTTTGGGGGGTCTTATTTTAGTATTTATTCTCCATGGTTTTTCATGTAAAATGTTTATAATTTAGAGTAGTTATAAGTTAGAGTAGTTATAAAAACAGTGGTTTGTATTCTGTATGAAAAGAACCCTATTTGTAGAGAAGCAGTACTTTTTTTCAAACGTTTTCCAAGGCAGGAAATTCTAGAGCAAGGATGCATCTTATATATTTTTTTTTAAAGTGTACTTATGGAATGATATCATTAGTGTTTTCATCATTACTTTTCTTTCTTTT